TCCCGGCGCCGCTGCTGCCACGGGAATGAATTTGAGGAGCTTTGCCAGCTCGGAGCGCGGCCGAGCTTGGGTGGGGCCGTGCCATGCAAAGAGATCCACTTCTTTATTGTGCCCTGCGGAACCGTCCCTGCGTCCTCCCCCGAAAAGGGCTCTTGGGCCTTGCAGGCGGCGGTGCCACACGTCACTGGGCAGCGACCCTGATGCTGGCGTACTCGGAGCAGGCTGCGCCGGGGCTCCTGCCGCGCCGCGGGGCCGGGGGCAGGGGCTGCAGATCCGCGTAGTGGATGCTGTTGTCCTCTTTGCTGCTTTGCTGCAGAAGGGCACGCGAACGGTTAACGCCGTCACTAGATAACTCTTGCAAAAATAACCCTCCCGGGAGGTTTAAGCTGGGCCACGGCCGCAGAGGCAGCCCCGTGCCGTGGCGCGGAGCGTGGCAGGACCGGTGCTGACCCAACGCCCTCCCTGGCCCTGGAGATTTGAACTTCGGGGCTTCGGCTTGGGACGCTCTTCCCCAGAGTCACGGCTCACTCTTACCTGGCTGGGCAGATGCGAGGTCTCTGCGTCCCGGATTTCACTGCTGGGGGAAAGGATGGCTGTCAGCGCTAAAGGACGCTGGGCCCCCTCTCCACCCAGCACAACGCTCCTCAGTTCCTCTCCTGAATTTTAGCCGGGCTCTGTGGCACGTGGCCGCACGTGATGCCCGTGCTGAAGGCAGAGGAGAGGGACAAGATGCTGTCTATGTGCCTGGGCCGGGCTCAGACGCTGCGGTGGGGGCTCCAGGGAGCTCCCCACCACGCGCCGCCGTGAAACGCAGAGGGAAGCAACACAGTGCAGTGATGGGCCTGCGAGTAAAGGACCTTTTCTGGGGAAAATTATTGCTCTGGAGGGAGAGGAAACCAGGATAAGGTAGGGGGATAAAGTGGTTTGCAGAAGAGGTGGTGGGTACAAACCTGGGGGTGCTGGGGGTCCCTCCACAGCACCACGGAGGGATGGGCAAGAAGCTGCCTGGTGCTGCCGGCCCAGCCAGGCACTGGCTGTCTGCCTCGCCTCTGTGCTTCCTCCTGTACATGCAAAAGGCGATGAAGAGGCCGAGGAGGAGGAGGAAGAAGAGCATTACAGCTGCAGCCACCATGCTGGGAACCAGGGCAGTGTCTGTGGAGATAAAAAGCAGAACGGGGAGAGGGTGGTGGGTGCGTGGCAGCGCCAGGCACCGCTGTGGGCAGGGGCAGGGGGGGCGTGGGATGGGGTCCCGGGGAGCAGCGTCCCGCTGGGCTGGCACTCACCGTGCAGGGACACCTCCGTGCCCTTTCCATGCCGAAACACCTCCTCACCAGCCAGCGACTTGCTGAACTTGACACAGTAATAGGTGCCGGCATCCTCGGGGCGAACATCGCTGATGCGGATGCTGAAATCTGAGTTGGACTCAGTCACGACCCTTGTCACGCGGGGGAAGGAGCCCGTCTGCTCATAAACAGTCTCGTTGCTGCTGCCCCAGCCCTTCAGCCACTTCACGGGGCCGAGGGGCCTGTCCCCAGACGTGGTGCAGGTCAGGGTGAGCGTGTCCCCCGCTGTCACCAACACCTTGTTCTGGGGCTGGTGCAGCTCGAAGCTCTGACCCGTCTGGGCACCCACACCTGGGCACAGTGACAGGAGGGTTTGGGGTGAGCGAGGGAGCAAGGCGAGGGCTCACCCCGGGCAGGACGGGCAGAGCAGCCCCCCCCTCGCTCCGAGCTTGCAGCAGCTCGGCCGAGAAATATCCCTGGACATGTCAGAGACCAACCGCAGGCGCCGGGAGCGGGGGCAGCCAGGTTCAAAATTAATAAGGAGCGAATTTGCATGCCCTGTCGTTAACGGGAGGTGCCGCGGGTGCTCGGGGTCCTGCAGAGGGAGCCAAGGGGAATTCCTGGGAGGAAAAACTCCCGAGTGCTGTTAAACATTAACGCCGCACTCGGGGCAGCACGGTCAAGGCCACCGGGGCGCTGCGAGGGGTTCACAGCCCGGGCCGTGCGCTGCCAGCCAGGAGCGGCTCCGGGCAGGGATGGGCAGCCCCGGAGCCGAGCACAGGCCCCCCAAATCCTCCTGTCCCCAAATCCTGTCCCCAAGCCCCTCCTGCCCCTGAATCCTTCCTGTCCCAAACCCCTGCTGTCCACAAGTCCTGTCCCCAAACCCCTCCTGTGCCCAAATCCTGTCCCCAAACTCCTCCTGTCCCCAAGTCCTGTCCCCAAACCCCTCCTGTGCCCAAATCCTGTCCCCAAACTCCTCTTGTCCCCAAATCCTGTCCCCAAACTCCTCCTGTCCCCAA